CAGTTTACCTTGGAAGACTGTCTCAGTGGAAAACAGTCTGTAAGGCAAGTTCCTTTCTTACTTTACAGCAGGTTAAGAAAATAAAATTAGTTGCTCAACTAATGGATCAATTATTTATATGTGAAATATTGGGAATGAGGTTGTAGTAGTATTTTTTTAAATAAAACAAATAAACAAACCTAAATTGACGAGCCTATTCTTGTTAATTCTTTAGTATCCCAAATCTATCCTATGAAAAGTCCTACTGTTGAATTGGGGGAAATGTTCCTTTATTTCACAAAATGAAATTAGTCTTAATCTACAGATAAGATAGTGCCCAACAAAAGCACTTTATACTCCTTTCTGATTCTCATACAAAGGCACTTCAACAAAGTTCTGGGCCTCAGCCGAAAACAAATGGTATAATTCCCATTCTGGGGTGTAACTGTGTTCTATAAAGCCTTATGACACTGTCCACTCAAATGCTTAAAGCAATCAAAGAAATGAGGAGAGGAAAGCTGGCATGCAGTTGCTCCAGGACAATGTGTCTGTCCACACAGCACAGGTGGCAGAAGCAGCCAAATGGAGCTTGCCTAATGTACCTCACTCACCCGACCTGCACCGTCTGACTTCTATCTGATTCCCAAACTGAAATCCCACCTGTGTGGTCGCCATGATTAGAGTGATGATAAAGTCATGCATGCTGTTGAGGAGAATCTTAAGATGGGACTTTCTTCATGAAGGTATAGCAGCGCTCGAACATCGGAGGACCAAGTACATTGAAGTTAAAAGAGACTATGTGAAAAAAAACAATGCAAGAACAATCCTTTTCCTGAGATGTTTTCTGGTGAAGAACTTTTGAAGTACTCTCGTCTGCTGGAGGATACACCTGATTTAAAAAATGATCGAGCCTTTAAACAGCAACTAAACCATTGTGATCCACAGAGGGGAAACTCATGCAGAGATTGATATGTAGATGTTTCTTGTCTTGTTGAGAGATTTCTTGACAATAACAAATACAATACAGGAACAATACAGACAACCCTGTAATTACCTGTTTTGCCAGTTTTATTCACTTTCTTCTAATCCAGTAGGTCTACAGTTATGAATTTTGAATTATGTCTATGTGCATCTACATACCTTGGTAAGGTCTACGAGGTTCATGCAACGTGCATGTGTTTACTTAAACTGAAACAACCTTGGATTTCGCTCGTCTCTTATTTTAAAGTTTGATGCTATGATTTTATTATCGCATTGTTTGAGTGTGGCAGCCATCAGTGGATCACAGAGATCAGTTAGAGGGTGTATATAAGGTTGTGATGACCATTCAGGAGCACGTGTCCATCAAGCCTGGCTCCCCTGGGACTCGGGCGAGGCAGGGCTGAAATGGGTTTGTGTCATGAACAAATGGCAGGCAGGGGTCAGGCTGGCAGGCTGCTGGGGAGGGTTGTATTAATGCATCCTGGCAGTGTGGGCTTTTTCCATCAGACACTCCACACTGCACACACACACACACACACACACATTACGTCCGCTCATAGAAACGCACTTGAACACATGCAGTTGTTGCCTTCATCTCTTGCTCTTGATATCACACACACACAGACACACACACACACATTCAGACCTCATCCTGGCACTGCCAAGAAGCTGTAAATGCTGAGATTAAATGAAGTTGCAGAACATCACTTCTTTGTCACAGATCACTTCATGCTGTTATTCTGCCTGAATGTTGTTCCACTTGCAAATCCGTCCTGATGAGCGGCACAATGGAAACGTCTGAGTAGCTTTTCAACTGGAAGACTACGTAATTAGGAATTAGCAACAGCTTTGCCCTCCCTTCAATAAATAGTTGGAGGCCTGCAGGGATGTTAAATGCTCTACAGGCCTTTGTTTAAGGAAACGCAATAATCACAGTAAGCTCCTTTTATGCATGACCAGAAACCTCAGCAAGAAAAAAAAAAAAAAGTTCTAGTGTTGACATTAGTTTGGTGGAGGTGGCGTCAACAGAAAACACCCCGACGCACTCTTTGCAGTGTAGCTTCATGTGGAAAGATGGTTTAATTTTGTGTTGTTGGTGCCAGAATGGACAGATTTAATACAAGTGCAAGGAATAAACATATAAATATACATTTAGGGAGACAGTAGAGATTTCAAAGTCATCGCTCTTGGCCAAAAGTTTAGTACAGTTCGTCATGAGATCCTTAAAAACATTTTTTCTGCTCCATGGTCAAAGGCGCACTTGTTGAAGAGGAGAATTTAGCCATTGAGATCACTGATTAGGCCATGACATTGGCAGTAACAAGAGGACAGAGTCAATGAACAAGAGCAAAAACAATGGCTGTAAAGTAACAAGGCCAGTGGAAAGAAGTTTTTAATCAAGCACTGTGACATTTTGGTAAGTTTATTTACTTTCACTTTGATGCCAAATGAAAAGACTAATTTCCCTGATGTCTGTGCTCTACTCATGACGCCACTGCCACCCATGAGCTGAACTTAGCACAAATACTGAATGACAACAGGTAATCTGGCTTGGTCCAAAGGTGACGCACCTGCCAGCATATCTAAAGGTCTTTAATAACACTTTTATCTGCCTGGTTTCATCAATACAAAATTCAAACAGCAAAAACATGTTTTTCATTGACTATGGTTTAGATTAGTTGACACAATAGGGCTGTTTTCCACTGCAGGAACCTGCAGGCTATTTTAGTGCCCCAAGAACCGCCTCTGTAGAAACTCTTAAACATAAACTTTACTATATACACATTTCCTACATGCTCACTGAACCACAATTATGTCCAGAAACTGCTTTGGTTTTGGCACAGTTGAATCTGTGGGATCTTACATCGCAATGGGGACAGAAAGGATAAAAAGGTTGATTACGGGGCTGTTCCTGTAAATATTTGCATCATTTGTCACCTGCCTAAAGTTTCTGCAGTGGAAAGAAGCATAATGAGAGGAGATTCCAGTTTATGCATAGCAACAAAAAATGTCAAGGATAACACAACAAAGTGCAAGACTAGACAACCTTATAAATGATAATCAGGAATTAAATCAATAGGATAACTCTAAATTAGAAAATTATAATAATTATTGTAATATAACAATATATTTTACAATTACAATTATAAATAAGCTGAAATATACAGATGTTATAAACGACACTGAGTTGTAGTTGAATGATCGGTGTGATCTTTCAAAGGATAGTTGTTTGAATTCCTATTTGCCAGTGTTGCACTCTTGTGCTCCAAGTCCAACACAAGTCTGACCAACTTGTTTAACAGTCAAAACAACTCAAAACCAGAGAATTGGACCGCAATCCTTAACTTTACTTAGCTATGAATTTTCTTCTTTCTTACAATAAAAAGGTCACATTCCCTAAAGTCTTCTGAGGGCCCAGAACACTTCCCTGTGGGACTCCACATCAGGACTAATGCATCAACTCACTCAATTCACCAAAGTCTTTGTGCAAAGTATGAAGCAAACCATTTCAGCATTTATTATGGGTTGCACAGCAGTCCTTTATAAATGAAATACCATCAAAGACCTGTGGCAATTTTCTTAAATGTTAGCCCCTTAAAAGAGGTAATCTATTGTTGCCTAATCTTTAGCGAACCATTTCTATAATTTCTTAAATTGTAGATAGTCATCTTTATTGCCTGAATCTTTATACTTGACCAGAGCTTTCTCTAATACATAATGTACTTCCAAGATGTCAGAATTAGGCCAAAGACTGGACCTTTAGCTTTTTCTGGCTCATCTTAAGGTCTTTGGTCCACAGCATTAACAATAAATCTATCCAGTTACTTACCTCCTGATGACTGTTAACTGTCTATGCATAATCTTGTCCCACTGCTGCACCTAAAAGATCTCCATGCTGTGGTTTTTGGTGGGTTACAAGCTGCCTTTTTCTTTGTTATGGCAACCATCTACCAGCGAATCTTTTTCTGAAGATCCAGAGTAGGTGCAAGAAAGTCAAAAACCATATTTCCCAAAATGTCGAGCTCTTCCTTAAAAATGAAAACTCAAATAGGAATACATTTGTAAGTGAATCGGATGCACCTTCAGTAGAAGAGACAGAGCTGGCCAAGTTAAATGATGAGAAGATTAAAGGAGCAAAGTTTCTTAGTGAGAGTACATAGAACTATCTGTATGTGTGTGCCCCCTCACCACATAATTACAGTCATTTGAATGCCTTTGAATGCACGATGGCCCTCAGCAAGGAGAAACTAAACCTAAAAGTTTCCCATTATATAATGTAACATATCTGCAGGCCGACCGCAGAGCCGAGAGTCCTGGGCTGAAACTCACACTACATACGAAAGGCGGGAAAGAGAAGGAGGATGAGCTATTTGTATCTGTGACTCTTTGTTAGAATCGCAAACCTCAGCAGGGGATTTAAGACTAGCATGAGAGGAGAGGGTTAAACTCAGAGATACGCGGTTAAACAAAGTAGGTACAGTATTCTGGCTGGAACCTTATGACTGGTTGGATTATAGCTTCCAGGAACCCAGATTTTGGGCACTTTGTTGATCTCTAAAGCAAAGTTAAATTCACTTTGTCGTGTATTTACTGCACTGATTTGTTGGTTTGTCTTTCCTCTAGATAAATTTATATTAAAACTTGAATTAACTCATCAACTTTTTTACAGAATACATTAAAAGAGATAATCAACTCTTCAATTAAATCTTTTACAAACCTAATTTGAATTCTTGTACTGTACCAATTTCACCATGTCTCATCCTAAACACAGACAACGGAGCTGTAACCCTCGAGGGCCACACAATAAAAACCAGCACTCTGGAAGTTTACTCGGAGCGGAATTGCCATTGATCCCAGAAAACAATTCCACTTCCCCTCCTGTTGCCGGAGAATGCTTCCCAGCAAAAAATAGAGCACCAGGGATGTAAGAAGAAAGGGGGAGTGGGGAGAGGAAGAGGAGGAGATGGAGGAGGAGGAAGAGAGAGAAGGGAGGTCCATGGGGGAAACACTCTCTCCTGATGCCCCTGCATTTCTTCTCGTGCCCCCCGTGTGGACTAGCAGCTTGGTGATTGGGACAACACAAAAGCTCAGATGCCACCCTCACCATCAGCCAGCTCCTCTTAATGTTCACAAGAAGAGGGTAGTCCCAGCATCACACTGCACTCATCTCTGCATCTTCACCTGCCGATTGTCCGCTGACTTTGAGGAAGACCTGGGACAGATAAGGACCTGCACAACTTCCCAGAGAAGTTCCCTCAAGAAGAACAAAAAGGTAAGCCAGGTAACTACAATTCTTACTCAGGTGAAAACCTACAAAGCAAAGAATGCAGATGTTCTGGTAAATGCTGCGGGCATCCTAATAAAACTCACAAAGAGTGCAAACAAACGGTGATGAAGTCTCTGAGGGAGTGAAATGATAAAGTGCAAGGATGATGGAGAGGGAGGCCTGGTGTGTGTTAGAGTGCCTGTTCTCTCCCGCAGGTACAGCTGTCAACCCCGCTCGCTCTCATTCTTTCCATCTCGCTCTGTCTTTCTTTCTCTCCCGTCTTTCCCCATAACTCTCACAGGAGACAAATACAGTCAAACAAAGTGCAGCACAATGGGGACCTTAAAACATAGAGCCACCAGCAATGTGGACACGCGGAATGAAGACTTTGACGAATTGTTGTCTCTGCGCTCTCTCTCGAGCCCTAAAGGCTGAAATTCTGATTTAAAACTGTCATTAAAAATCCCCCACGGTTTCTTACCACTGCAGAGATGTGATAAAAAATATATTAGCTAGTTGTTTGTAAGCAGAAGTTAGTACAAAAGCAAAATTTCAAAAACTGAGGAAAAACACACTTTTGTTGAGGTGAACTACATGTCTCTGCAGCAGAGAAATATTCAGATTAATTAAATGAAAGAATCAATATGACAGCATAAAAATACTCAATTATCAGTGAGCCTTATATTCAAAACTTCAGCAAAAGTCCAGAAACAGTGGAAGAAGTATTCACACGCACTGTGCAGAAAAAAATTACATGCCTCTAAAACACATAACAAGTATTCACTGTTTTAGCTGGATGTTATGGAGCTAATTTACGTCATCAAGTGCATAGTTGGTTAACTTCTGAATCTAAAAAAAATAACTAATTATAGTTAGAAAATACTTTTTTTTCTGAAGTATGATCAGAATAAAAAACTGTCTCCACTGCGTTTAAACAAATCACACCATTGTTAGATTTATACCGTAATAGGATTCTAGGCTAGATTTTTTTTTTTTTTTAAAGTTAATGATGGTTCCTTATCTAAATAAATAAATAAATGCAACAAATCTGCTACACATGCCTGTAGATAAGATAACATCCAGTAAATTGATCTCAGTCTCTCTCAGTGTTTTCATATTTGACACTAAAGATAAAAACACTAATACATCAGCGCTGAGAACTCGCCAGCACTGGTACACCAGTTGGAATCCTAACTCCCAATAAAAAAAAACACCATATATCAGCGCAATAAAAGAAAACATCCTAAACAATAAGTGAGATTTGTATAAATGTGTCTCACAGCTAAGGATAAAATTTGCAGGCTCATTAAACCAAAAATGGTATCCTGTGCTGAGGATGAATGCACATCACTGATGATAAATATTGTCTTTAACATTACCAGGACGAAAGTCACAACAAAAACAGAGGGGAGACATGCCAAACATGCATCTCGTCCCAGGAATAGCAGCTCCCCAGGAATTTCAATCGAGGAGTTTGTTTGTGAGAATTGTCCTCCCTGAAACACCTTGCAGCTGTTTGTTCTGAGGGTTCCAGCGTAATGCCATATGCAGCTAAACAATAGATCATAACAGGGCTGTGGGTCTGTGTACAGTTGTGGGCAGTTGAAGAGCCAGACAGCCATGTAAGGTAGCAGGCAGCTCATCGGCCCGCTGGCTTCTGCTGGTGTGACTGATATATGGCAGCCTGGATCCATGTCGGCCTGTACTGGGTGACAACAGGTGACTCACATGAGTGGGAACCGTTCTCCCCCATGATCTCACATCAGATCTACACTGTAGGTCAAACTATCCCCAACTCACCCCTCCAGCAAGCCAGTTATAGCTAAAGTTAAACATGCTCATCCTTGATTATAATCCTGGCACTCCTGGGGGGGGGGAGATGCGCACACCACCCCTGAGGTCCTGGCAACCAAACAGCTGCTGCAGTGCTGGGATTGACTCGCCACACGTGTTAAAGTTCAAGTTCCAGGCCATGCTTCAAATATAACTCTTGAACTTTGACAAATAAGTGCATGAATAGAAATAAGTAAGCCTCATTTATTTTCATTTAATCTCTCCTTTATGCCACAGTAACTTCATAAAACAGCTGATATTTGTCATTTAAAAATTAAAAATGAACCATCAATGGGTTGAATAACTATAGCCTGGGTACGTCTGCCATCTAATGCACAGCTGTAGGTATCTATTTCTATTTCTACTGAGACTGTCGACACCTGTGTGTAAATCTGAGTGGTTGTGTGGTTCACTACTAATGTGGTTTCACCGAAACACCGCTGAGATGCCGCTGCAAGATAAACTGTGGCTGGCAAAGACGCCTAAAACTGCATTCACTCACACAGTCTTTCTTTTTTTTCCCAAGACAGCTTCAAATAACGGAGCTTTAATGTCTCAAAGGGGGGTGAAAGAGTCGAGCTCGGGGTTAGTCTCAGGTATCAAAACTTTTACCGTGTGCTGTAGTTGCAGGATTTAAATGAGAGAAGATAAATGTATACGTTTAAAAGCGGTAACATGATTAGATTTAGATTTATGTACTGTATCAGAACTATTTTCCGTCTCCAATTAATCATCTGATTATATACATACTTTATATGCTGTCCTTGTATATTAAACTGTATATAAAGTGCTTCAAACGAGCTCCAGCTACGGCAGCTACAACAGTTACATGCTGCTTATACACTGATGACTCAGTATTACTAATATAATGATGTCAGATATAATAATACATACGTGAGAGGGAACAAAAGCAGGATTCTTCATGCAGGACGTTTATTTGTAATGACACATTTTTACATTGCTGTCGTGGTATGTTCCCGCTACCTCATTCCAAATTCAGCTCATCTTTTTTTAAGAGCCAGACCCCTTTAAAGTGAGGCCAAATTATTCCCTGTACAATATGTCAGATACGTTTCAAGAGAACAAATGAGTTTCCTGACTGTGTGTTATTCTCTAATTAGAATGACACATTTGTTTGTCAGGTAGTGTGATTCTGAAAGCGGCGTGTCGAGATCTACTTCATCTCCAGCAAATCCCCTCACACTTACATAATAACACAATTGTACTTAATGCACAACGCAGTGTAAATACTTTTTCCTCCACTGATGTTAGTCTAAACATGCCCCGTTAAAGGGAAGCAGGCCGAGAAGATGGATACCCCACCGACTAATTGCCCGTGTGTTTATGAGGACAGCGCAGAGCAGGTAGAGTATCCCGGTCCTCCAAGAGGATCCGGACTCTGTCAAACAGGGTTTAGTGCTGAAAGGTGCAGATGGCTGAGGGAATGTTTAAATCAACCCTGCCCCCTGTTGTTACTGGTCTGGGGATACATTGCAGCCTGACGGGAACCAGCTCGTGTCGATGATGGGAAAAGGTTTTAAACTCATCAGCTCAAAATATCATCAGGAGCGTTTTGTCTGTTCTGAGAGTTGAAAACCCACAACTGAGAAAATGCGTCTGTCTACATTGTTATATGACACAAATAAAAATGACACTCAGTAATTTTGTGAGATACATAAATCTGAAACCATTGCTCCGTGTGCCACTGCACAGCAATTTACACAGACCTGGATGGTCCTATAAAATTTCTGTGTCGGGTTTTTCCAGCCTTGGGGCCTTGCCACAGCCCTCACTGAGCCTCGTACCAGAGTCACTGCCCTCTAAGGCAACGCAGCGGAGTGTCCAACAAACCAGAGGATTTATTGTTGTGTTGCAGGGCAGAGAAAACACACAGCATTTTTCCTGCGGCGAGTCACAGCGGCAGCCATCACTTTGTGGAGATGCAGTTTATTAGCTGCTCCTTCTCTCTTCACCTCCGTGAGCTGCCTGGCTGCTGTCCAGACCAGCTCAGTGTCTGTACATGCACATCTGACTGGAAATTTCAATGCAGCTGCATCTAGAAGTCCAGTTTGAGCTGACCCTAAGGCGGTTAAAAGACGTCATTCTTGGCTGTAGCTCATACAGAGTTTACTTTCTTTCTTAGACTATCATAATATCTTGTCAACATCTATCATCGACTTTTTTTTCCAGCAAACTCACTGACGCAGAGATCACCATCCCTGACCCTTTGATCAGCGTCACAGAGAAATAAGTCAGCGCTCCATAATGTCCCCATTTGCGCACTTTGCCTTTCTGAATACCTTATAACCAGATTGCCCATTACTTCTCCATTACTCTGCCACTGAGATTATAAACAGATGTGACAGCCATGATGGTCTACAGGCAAACCAGACCGCTCAACAAAGGGCAAGATGTGCCACAGTAAATCCCTGCTTATTGCCAGCAGCGCAGGTATGATAGACAACTGGTGGCGGCAGAAGGTGCTTTCACAGTGAAGGAGTTCAGGGAAAGAACTTGGCGCTGACCTCTGTCCCTCTACATCCCACTCTTTTTAACACCTTGTTCCTTTTGTCCTCCGGAAATCATATTGTTTGAAATTGCTTCCTCTGAGAGCAGGAAAAGGTAGTCGAGGGAAGGAGACAGAGACTTTCCCAGTCGATCTGAACTACACATTGTCTATTTATCCCTGAGATGGAAAGTTTCTATTCTCACCTCTGCACATGAATAATAGTTTGTATGTATTCTTTATTGTATGCACCCATGACGAATGGAGTATAAGTTCATGAACTGGAATACAATACTGTACCAAAGACTATTGTAGAAGTAATGTTGCTTGAGAATTTCTATTGTACATTATGTTCTTCTTTATTTAGGGCCGTAATATTGGACTTTTTGTAGATAACAGGTAGTGAAAGTTAGATTCTCAGAATATGTTGCACAGGTGTGAAACAGTGGTCACCTCACAGCGAGAAAGTTGTGGGTTTGAACTTGCCAGTCAACTCTGCCTGCGTAGGCTTTCTCGAGACGCTCCGACTTCCTCCCACACACTTGTGATAAATGAGAGACGTGCTACCTTTTTTTTTTTTTGCCACGCTTATGTGAGTCTGAAATAATTGAGTAGGAGCTTTAACAAGATGGCTGCACCAAGATGTAGGTGAAACTTGCCTGTCGGGACTTTGCCACGATGCAACGACAAACTGGCCTCAAGTAACACATCCTCACCCCCAAATAACTCAATCATGTTGTTGCACTGATGCAAGAACAATGTGGTGAAACATGTGTAGTCGGTGTATGACATGTGAGAAGAGACACTTTAAAAAAAGTTATGTGTTGGGGCAAAGTCACTTATTTGTCTTGATGACTCTGGAATGCAGTTTTTGTACACTGGTGACCAATAAACCTGCAGATATGCCTCTCTGCCCATTAATTTAGAAAGAGGTCCTTGTCTTGTGAACCAGAAATAACTGCCTGAGGGCTGTGACCAAGATGGCTTTCCTGGTAGTGGCAAGATTTGCCTATAAATACTTTGCCACAATCCACAGACATGCATGATAGGGTTACTGGCAACTCTAAATTGGCCTCAGGTGTGAGTGTGAGGGAGCTTGGTGGTCTGTCTCATTGTGTTAGCCCTGTGTTGGACTGGCTACCTGCCCACAGTGTGCTCTGCCTTTCACCAAATGTCAGCTTGGAGAGGCTATAGCCCCCCGCAAACCTCTAAAGCTGATGGATGGATGTAAAACATCTAAAATATAATTATTTGTCTACTACTTTGGATAAGACCAAAATATAGCAGCTGTCAGATGGATTCAAAAAAAAGCTTGTACTGACATTCATGTTCCCCAGAGGATAGTGACTTTGGTGATTTTTTTTTTCCCCCTGACTTTTTCTTTCCCCGAAGCTGGTGTGTGACTTGGAATGATATGTCACTGTCTAACTATGGTACTAAACTTTGGTACAAACAGTTACATACCCTTTACAGTGAATCACATTAGCTTTGTGGATTCCTTGAATTTGTATTTAGCCACATCATCAGCTGAACACTTCTATCCTTGTAATGCTTTGGTTTATGACCAAATACCTGATGATGATGATAACATGCTAAATTAAGATGCTAAACATGTGAGACATAATGTTAGAATTATTATTTGCATGCTAGCAAACTAACTTTAGAATTTGGCAGCTTTGCAATGAACGTATTTATAGACGAAACTTCCCAACTACTAAAGGATGCTATTCTTCTACCATAGTGAGAGATCACTATAATCCTCATGTCTTTTAATGACATTAAAAGCTGTTTACCTTTCAAAGAATAGATGCCAAAGGAAGACATGGTTTACAAAAATTATTTTGTTGTCTCCCATTCTGATCTCGTTGACTTTTATGACTCCAATTTGTACTCATGACACTGATCCGAACCAGTATGAGACTGTCACAAAGGTTAACTTTGAATGAGTCTGTAGGGAGGTGTATTGTTATCAAGGTCTGCACAGGTGAGGAAAGCCTGTTGTCAGTATCAGCTGATAAGAGCACGGCTGTTTTAATGTGCAACCTCCTGCCATTGTGCTGGCTGGACTCTCACTCCCTTCCTCCAGCTTTCAGCCTGTTTATGATTTACTTCCAGTAAAGATCATCAGCTTTGTCCATGCAGGGCTCTGAGCCAGTCGCCTGAACCCAGTTTCACCAGCTGGTCTCCGACTTTACATGTATGCTGGAAAACAAGCAAGTTTTCCTGTATCATGCTATGCATTGGTGCATCAGCCTCGGGCGTGGAGAAAGGTTGGATGTTTCCTTTCCAAAAATCTTGTCATGAGCGTGTTCTGTTTCCTGCCTCTTCATGCTTTTGAGATAGAGCACACAATGATCAGATTTTCCATCTTATTGCCATATATATACCTCATGGAGACACTGAGGGAGGGGGAGAGACAGACAGATGGTCATGGTCATTTAGACCATCTCTCTCTCTCACACATAACCAGTGTCAGTGTCAGCCAGCCAGTCCAAAGCCCTGCTCAGTGGACTAAACAGTTACTCACTATGGAAGCAACCGCTCATGGATTACATTCAGGAGGAGATGAGAGGTGGTAAGAGAGAACATCAAATCCCTGCATGGCTTTTGTCACTCTTTGAGATCGTAGCGATTGTACTGTATATCATTTTCCTACCATTAAAGTAACTATTTGGCTTAAGACAGCTTTAGGAGGAATGTATACATTTTCTACAACCTTTCCAAGTAGGGCAGTGACTTTAAATGTGTTGGAAAAACCTGCCAAACTGGAACTTTTAGTCATTTTTCTTTTTGTTGTAACTCATCTGTCTCTAGCTGCACAACGAAAGTTGGAATTTGCCATATGTACATATACAGCATGTAGAAGTTGGAGGTCACCCCTTGATGGAGTTTGATGGGTTTTCTTAACCTCTCAGTGACGGAGGTCATTTGTGGTGCCCATAAAGCTGTCTGGTGAGCTGCCTTATAGGGTCATTCTCAGCTGAGATTGTCCAGCTTGTCACTGCCATGTTTGGGTCTCACCCAGACTCTCACTAATGCTTGAGTCAAGAGATGAAAGCGCACACACTTCCAGCGGAAAGAGATGAAGAAATCTGATTGACGCCTCCAGAAGGATTGAGATTGCAATCTGTAGGAGGGTTTCATCATTGCAGAGAGGACGGTGGACATCAAAGCTGCTGCTCTGTTGTTGTGAGTGAAGTCTGCTGATGATGTGCCACGGGCGAAATGGAGACTGTGCAGCTCAAGCCAGGTCACAGCATTAGAAGGACAAAGCCTCCTAGCGTTGCCTTGCCCTTTAGTGGCCTGTTTCTCTTTCTGTCCATCATACATAATTTGGAATAAAACAAGGGGCTGTGTAAACACACATAATAAAATATGGAATAATATTTCTTCAAACAACCGTATTATTTACTTTTACATGACTTTTGAACTTCCTCTCCTGCTCTTTCTCTGCCTCTCTGCCTCCCTCTCTCATGGGAAAATGCCTGTTCTCATGCCATAGTATCAAGGCCTCAAGCAATTTGTAGGCAGAGCAGCTATTTTTATGCATATGTTGCCACACATACACTCAGGTCATTTCATGTGGCAGGAATATAGAGGATCTACAGCTGTCTGTGACTGATTATTTGTGTTTCTTTTTTCCCCTTTTCCCCCCTTCTGCTCTGTCCCTCCCCCCCCTCAGTGACTTGACCTTTTCACCTCTGCTGCACCTTCTTTGCATCTTTGCGGCCTTCCCTCCTCAGTCTTTGCGTCTCAGGTGTGTGCTCGGACTGTGAGCAGTGATGGGGGACTGGAGTCTCCTGGGGAATTTCCTAGAGGAGGTCCAGGAACACTCCACCTCAGTCGGAAAGGTCTGGCTCACCATCCTCTTCATCTTTCGCATCCTGGTGCTGGGCACAGCGGCTGAGTCCTCCTGGGGCGACGAGCAGAGCGATTTCCTGTGTGACACTCAGCAGCCCGGTTGCACGAACGTTTGTTATGACAGCGCCTTCCCCATCGCCCACATCCGCTACTGGGTGCTGCAGATTGTCTTTGTGTCCACGCCATCCCTCATCTACATGGGCCATGCCATGCACACGGTGCGCAGAGAGGAGAAGCAGCGGAGGAAGGAGCAAGAGGAGAGGGAGGCGAGAGGGGAAGATGGAGGAGACCTGGAGGGGGAGAAGGAGTACCTCCAGCAGAAGGAGAGCGGAAAGGGGTTGGCATCTGACGGGACTGGCCGCGTTCGCCTAAAAGGTGCGCTGCTCCAGACTTACGTCCTGAGCATCTTGATCCGTACTGTCATGGAGGTGACTTTCATAGTGGTGCAGTATCTGATCTATGGGGTGTTCCTCAAGGCGTTGTACCTCTGCAAGGCGTGGCCCTGCCCCAACCCCGTCAACTGCTACATGTCTCGGCCCACGGAGAAGAACGTCTTCATCATCTTTATGCTGGTGGTGGCTGGTGTGTCCCTGCTGCTCTCCATGTTGGAGCTCTACCATTTGGGCTGGAAGAGCATGAGGAAGTGTGTGCGCAGGAGGGTGATGCAAAGGAAGAACAACAGAGCTGTGACGGTGGCCGTGTCTACAGCTCTGGAGTGCAACAGCCCCCCGCTACCCTCCGCCTCCTGCACCCCACCTCCTGACTTCAACCAGTGCCTGACAACGGCCAGCCCCATGAACCCCATGTCCTCCATGGCCTCTCATCCCTTCAACACCAGGATGGCGCTACAGCAGAACTCGGTCAACTTGGCCACCGAGCGGCATCACAGCTGTGACAACCTGGAGGACGAGGAGGACTTTCTGAGGATGAGATACGAGCAGGCGGCCTCGGAGCTGCCCAACAGCTGCTCCCCGCTGCCGCTGCTGCACTCCGGCTACATGAAGGACAAACGGCGCCTGAGCAAGACCAGCGGCACCAGTAGCCGGGCTCGCCAAGACGACCTGGCAGTGTAGATTCACAAAGAGGGGCTGACGGGGGAGGAGAGGAGGAAAGGGCTGGACCTTCTGAACCAAAGAGAAAGAACTGAACGTTCAGTTTGTAAAGACAGAAATATAAGACTGAGATTTATTTCAGAATGAAGGGGTCGGATCATAAGCGCAGGCAAACTATGCAAACTCTGCCGCTGAGGCCCGACACTTGACTGTAGTGGACGGACACATTGGAGAGAAATGCTGAGGTCTGTGATTGGACCGTGTACACTTGACATGTATGAGCTTTTTGAGCAAATAATCTGTCCCGGAGCTCAAAAAACAACAACTGCGAAACAAACTGCAAAAGGAGAATAATGAAAACAGGGTAACGGCCGGGCCTATTGCACAATTTATGTTTAAAACCAAAACAGAAAGAAAGAGATGAGAATGACATGACACGAGGTGTTTGGTGTGAGATGGCTGAATGAATCATTTTATGACAAAGCAAAATATCACACACATCTCAACTGTTCCGTTAGTTGCAGACTAGCTTATGACTTTAGATAACACAGCCTAAACTCTTTGTCCAACTTCAAAAAAAATGAAGAAAAATGTAAAAATTCAAGTTGCAATAAACAAAAACAGGGACCTATATCCTTTAAACTGTGAAGTTGTCCGTGCATTTGCAGTGAATTAAACCAAAGTGCCTTATCAAGTGTGAAAAATATCCATTTCCTAAGAACATGTTTTTCCTGTGTTTCTGAAACGTCATGGTAAATGCTGTAGCTTTAAATCAAGCCACTTGTTGGCTTGCTTATCTGATTGCACTATACCTGCAGGTCAACAAAGATTATATTGTAACTCAAGAATAATAACCTTGCAATCCTATAGCGCGTGAGTAAAACTGCGTCCATTAATCATGTATTTGACAGGAGCCTTTATGGGCAGAGGTGATGAGAGAATGTAGCCTGTTTTAGCAACATGTTTTCAAAGGTGAAAGAAACAGAAGCCTGGTTGGTGGTTGTGAGTAGATTCAGCCACTAGGTGGCAACGATGCACTTACGATTTTCAGTCTCTCTCTTGAAGCCATTGTGTAAATAGTGAATTTGTTCCTATGCAATGTATGTTTCATTTGATGTTTTTGTATGATTCTTTTGTGTTTCTTTTTTCATTTCCAGTGTCTAGCTGTTACCATATGCAAAATAATAGTACAGGTTGTTTATAGCCACAGCTGTGAATTAACATCCGTACAAATGGAGGTTTGAAGTTCAACTATATATATATATGTGTTCATAACAAATATTCATTTTAAAAACAGAATATTTGTTCAGCCAGCTGTACTTTCACTGCCTTTTTGGGTTCCTTCACACAAATCGTTTTGCAATAAATGTCATCCCTAACCCAAAGCAAATAAATGGATCATGACATGTTCAGTCTGCTCTGTTGTTCTGAAAGTGTGTGATTAATTCAGTGCTTTAAATCTTCTTTGATTTTTCCGCCACATCACCATATAGAGAGCAACATACTTTGCATCTGAAACCACACGGCGAATGCAGAAATGCCTTCAAAACTAAAGCGTTAGAGAAAATCAAAAGAGATGGCTGCACACTGATGAAGAACATACTTTCATGCATTTTTGAACCGTGCAGAATCCCATCACCACTTGCATTTTTCAGTCTGTTGTCACCAGAGAGGACCTGTAGGAGACAGATTGGGGAAGATGAGCAATATTTACACAAACAAAGACTGTCTCGCCGTCGCTGCCAGGAAGCTGAGCGCTGGTATCCAGCTTGATCTGTCACGAGCTGAAAAAGCTGAAACTGAATTGGAAGCTACAGAGGATGCTTCTTTTCTATTTTCTTTGTTGTTTTTGAGGAAATAATTAATCTCTGCAAAGTTCTTTAAAGATTGTCTTACACAGGAGACAGTGTCTTGAGTTAGAACATTATAGCCAAGATGATAAGTCCATATTGCTGTTCAATAAAATGTTTTACTTAGACTGTTAAACAATAATGGACTAAGTTACTGCAATAGTTTATATTCTGTGGGTTCTTGTGGTTGTCTGCTGTCCTTATTTATTTTTAACATATTACCAAGATGTGTATTCAAGATGGTAAAATGCTTTTCAGATGTATAATTTAAGTCAGTCAAGTTCTTCTGTTTTATGCAATATTCTATAAACATGTTCAAGATTGATTTTTATTTTTATTTACTTCAGATTAGCTCAAAGAATTGCAAGAATTTGCTTGCAAGGGAAAGAAGTCACATGTTTCACTCGAGTAAATGCAGAAAAACTACTTCAGTATTAAAAGTACTCACTATGCAGAGTGGCTGCTTTTAGTGTTCGTGTATTATTATTGCTAATTCATTAATATGTAAGAAGCATTTCCATTATGTGGTATCATTTTCAACTTTATTGTCACTGCATGGAGCATTTACAAAAACATTTTGGTGATTTTAAAGTAGATCAAGGAGGCACTGTTTCTAAAAACTTTAATCTATGTATATGAAACTAGTTACCCATCCATCCATCCATCCATCCATCCATCCATCCATCCATCCATTATCTGTCACTAGGGTCACGGGGGGCTGGAGTCTATTCCAGCTGACTTAAGGCGAAGGCAGGAGACACCCTGGACAGGTCACCAGTCTATCACAGGGCTACACTTAGAGACAGACAACCAAGCACACTCACATTCACACCTAACGACAATTTAGAATCACCAATTAACCTCAACATGTTTTTTGGAGTTGCAAGGTGGTGCAGTTGGTAGCACCGTTGCCTCACAGCAGGAAGGTCACCAGTTCGCGTCTCGGTGAGGACACTGGGATCTTTCTGCATGGGGTTTGCATGTTCTCTGCAGGTTCTCCAGCTTCCTCCCACAGTCCAAAAACATGTCAGCTGGGATAGGCTCCAGCCCCCCCCCACGACCCTAGTGAGGATTAAGCGGTGTACAGATAATGGATGGATGGTTTTTGGACTGTGGGAGGAAGGCTGAGACGGAGAGAACATACAAACTCCACGCAGAAAGATCCCAGGTGTCCTCACTGGGACGTGAACCAGCGACCTTCTTGCTGCGAGGCAACAGTGCTAACCATTGAGCCACCTTGCAGCCCACAACGTGTTAACATTTTTATATAAATATAGTGTATAGTAGAGTAAAATGACAGCATTTTAAGTAGAATACAGTAAATTCCCTTTCAATTGTGTATTCAACTTGGTATTTCTGCATCCGGTATTGTCATAAATCTAACGAGGCTGCATGATTTTTCTTTAAGGTAAACAGTTATGTTTTTGGTTAATCGTTCTTTTGGGGTTTTTTTTAACTTTCCTTTTTTTCTCTTTTGCATAATATGTGTCGGAAATAGAAAATAAATACTAACTTTATTTCTCATGGGCAAAATGTATGCCTTCAAGATGCTTGTTTTATCAGACAAGCAGTGCAAAATCCAAAGATATTTAATTTATATGAGGTTTCATTAATTTTATTTAAAACCTCGGAGAGCACACTGAGAAACAACCCACCCTTCAGTGGTGCAGAGGCACATACAATTAATGAAATGGCATTAAAAGAAGAACATATCCATATATCTATATCAGAACTCACTTTGTTAATGCCAGACAAGTATGGGGATTAAAAATTGGACAAACAAAACTGAAGCACTGGGAATGCAAGCAATTAAAAAAAAAAAGAAAAGCAATCCATATGAGCAGCAGCTATATCTCAGAACTGAAATGCTTTGGCAACGTCAAGTTTCATTGATGCATATTTCAATCGCAAAAGGGACTTTCCCAAACCTATCAACCAGATGAAAGCAGAAATAGAAGGCGACTTCTCTTTTTAATTCTTGCAGACGTTTTTCTCTCATCCAAGAGGCTTCTTCAGTTCTAACTGACTGATGGGGAGCCCCGCATATATACCTGAAAACACAAGAAACAGTTTGGCGAGAGATCTCAAGACTGCATTTTGAGTATATAAGTGGTGGCATAGACCCCTTCTCTGTTTGGAGATGGCTGTTCCAGTTTAACACAGATGGCTTCCTTCACTCCTCTCTCAAACCACCTGTCTTCTTTGACCAGAATGTTGACGTCAGTTTCCTCTAAAGTGTGTCCCCTTTCTTTTAGGTGCAGATGGATTACTGAGTCTCATGTGGGGATTTCCCCTGTTTATGAGTCTGGACACTCCTTGCTCTTTTGGACTGCGTTTACAATTTTCCTCAACTTGTGTTTAATTAATTTGTTCACAGTGTGAATCAGTTTCGTCTTTGAGTGTTATTGGGTCTAAAGTGCACTGGGATCTTGTGATAGGAGTAAATCCTTGGTAGTTGGTCAGACACTCTTGCTACACGTTGGACAACATACTCTGCAAGGTAAGGTTCTGATACTCCCCATCTTATGTGCCAGTGGATGGTGGTCGTCAAACAGCAAGTATTGATCTGTGTGTTTAGATTTCAAGTTAACTCATTGTTGAGGCCTCCATCTGCCTGAATGTGTACAATATAGTCCAAAGAAATGCAGTTTATTTTACACAACATCTTTCATGTAAACTTCATATTGTTGTCCATTGAGTTGCTATGTTTTGTGAAGGCTTTCACTTTATGGGCTTTGCTTTCACACCAAGTGACCTCCACATACATATCTGAACTAGTGACTGGGTGTGGTTCCCTTGAATGAGCTGCTGTCCACTTTCTTTATCTAATACTGTTAAACATTGTCCATACTGCATATACTATGTGCATTACTCATACATGTTTGATATCCACATATCTTACATACTACATGTGCTGTTCATACTGTTTCTACTGTTAATGCTGTTCATACTTTAGGTAGCTTGGCACATTCATGCCCTTGGAGCTATTCACTTAGACATTTCACATTGCCGTGCACTTTTACTGCTTCTTTTGCACTTCTGGTTCCACGCCAAACTGCATTTCATTGTTTTAGCGTTCTGTGCAGTGACCATAAAGTCTAAACTAATCTTATCTAATCTAATCATGTAGAGACTGGACACAATGGGTGACATTGGAGAACCTATGGCACACCCGTGCGTCGTCTATAAAAACCCTCATTGTATTTAAAATATGTGGTATGAAGGCAAAGATGCAGCAGCTCACATATCTGACCAAGAGGAACCAACAGACCTTCAGCTTTTCTTTTTTTTTCTCAAAAAGAGAAGTCCAGTTTCCTTCTACGAGAGCTCTGAGGATTACCATGAACTAGATGATTGAGAATCTATACAGTCAAAAATTGTAAAGCCTCAATGTTTGATCAGAATCAAAATCAGAAGAACCTTATTGATGCCTGAGGGGAAATGCTTACGTTACAGTTGTTCCAATTTAAGTCTTAGAAATTTAAGCAGGAGAAAAGAAAAATAAGATAAATATAGGTTGAAAACTATGTTCTGAAATTATAAACATAAGTAGAAAGGTTGAGCATAAAATGTAAAAATGTGCTTTGTAGTTATTGCACATTATTAGGTGTTAACTCAAAAAGTGAACATTAAGTAATATAAAGTAAGTTGCAAGTATAAACTCTTTGTTGTTTCTACATAACATAAGATTAATTGGTTGTCTAAATAGTTGTCCATGAGCTCGAAATTATTTTTTTTTTATGTTGGGCCACGGATATGCAGATTCTGTCCTGTAGAGGGCAGCAGCACACTTTGATTCAGCTCCTGTACCGGAAATTCTAAAGAGAAGAAGAGAAAAAGCCGTACAGGTAATGTGACTGCTGGGAAATGTAGTGTTATTGTTAACCTTTATTCCATTAATGCTATAGTAAGGTGGCACCTGCCTGCCTACATTTCCCGACATGCCCTTCGGCTTGAAACGGTGGCAAGAGTTGCCGAATGACAAGTGAATTTATGTGTTACTAAACGCTGCGTTTTCTATCGACGGCTTCATTTTGTGTTTCGTTTTTAAAGTAAGTATTTACAGATGTCGTTTAAATGTTTGTTCTCTCTGACGGCTCGGGTCGCAGGTTTGACTGCGGGGACAGAGGTCACACTTCATGTCATCATGTTGTGTTGCAACGAGCTAGTTTTGAAAGAGTTAACGAAGCTGCGGCTTCAAGTATTGTGTTTTTAACGTGCTTCGGTTAGCAGTGACGTTGTGCTGAGGTTATATATGTTTGCTAACTCCGGTTATCCGTAGTGTAAATAGTCCCAATCTTTACGTATTGAGCAGTTCAATGTCAGAGCCAGGTTATATGAGCTATATTAAATATTTAATTAGGGAAACGTTACGCCCCCCTGGAGAGACAGTTGGCACTAGTGAGTCCCACATCTGGACGTCCTGTTGGTTAACTTTTACGACCAATATCGTAACCACGGTTTTTAGGGTTTAAATAAAACTCAGTCTGATTTACCTGCTTCCCCTGAACTGGTAAAGTTAGCTGCATCGTCGCCACCATCCGCTTCATCTCTGGACCAGACAGGAAGTTTAATTTATTCAGTGAACGCAGGTTTGTACATAATAAACACTAAAGCTGATTAACGAATAGTCGGCTAGCTTTTATCAATCAGCCTGTTTCCTTACATGTGAGGGTTTACTGCTTTTCTCTGCGTTTTTATAATAAGTAGCTGAACTTATTTTTTTTTACTGATAGGATGACAAGATGTTCAGTTTAATTAAGAAAGTAATCTGCAGATAAGTGATTACTAATTAGTTAATCTGTTATTGATTATTGCGTTGCCAAATGTCAAAAGAACTGACCAGCCTTTCAGCATTTCTTTTATGAAAACATAGTGAATATCTTTGTGTTAATTGGCAGCTGATCAGATCAAACTGTCTCAGAAATTGTGCCCCATCACATTATATTTAACAAAAATAAGTAAATAATGAACTAATCGATTGAGAGAATATTTTGTTGGCTTATTGATGGTGGAATTACTCATGTGTTGTAGACTCACTACAGAGTTACTACATTTAATAACACTGGAAAAAGTTACTGTTTTTCAGCTTTACATAGTTGAAAACTAAATTTTTTGAGAGGGGGTTGTATTGATAAGTTGGAGCTGTGTGATTCATTTTTTTCCCTTAGTTAATAAAATAGTGGAGAAGACAATCTGCACATATCAATAATTGAACTATCAGTTGCAGACAGCCCTAGCTGGCAGGATTTGTTTTTTTTTTTTTTGACAGAATCGTAACCTATCTTTTAACATATCAGGCTCAATTGAGAAAATTATCAATAGTGACGTTAATCATTTGTTGCAGTCTAACTACAGATGACAGAGGAGGACTATAATGTTCGGCAGACTTACAGCTTTTCATTTATGTTAATGTTTCTGTTTTTGTGATTGGGTAAAAGTCACTTATTTCTTTTTCCTATTAACCTTAATGCACGTGCTGTTTGTTCTTCACAGCGGAGCCATGAGGAATGTATGGGGCAAAGCGTGCATGTTCGGTTCGCTGTCCGCAGCTTTTGGCTCAATGCTGTGGTCGCAACAGAAGACTGAACCAGATCAGGTTGCTTCCGTTTGCCCTCCTGATGACACAAACCCCGACTCTCTCTACGAACTCAAACTGGTCCAAGTGCTGTTCCGACACGGTGCTCGAACGCCGCTGAGATCAATACCTGACGTGATGGAGGTAAAAACTCTCTTTTTGTGTTTCATCAGGTCATCTAGTGCCCGTGTCCTTTAAAATGTCACACGGTATCTGTAAGTAATAATTCCTTGCCTGGTTTGTCTTACCAAAGGCCCAGTGGGTGCCAACGCTCTTGGACCCGCCACCACACACCCACATCAACTACGTAGTGACAGATCTTCAGGGTGGCCCCAGACCCCCAGCTCCTGTAGAAGACAGCTATCGGAAAAGCTTGCTGAGCGTGAGTAGGTGTGCTTTTTGCTGCTGAAGGCAGTAAGACAAGAAAAGACTAAGAGACTTTCGGGGAAGATGCTAAATAAACACGTGTTAGCAAAAAAGGTCATGTTTTATGGTGTTGCAAAAGAGTTTTAAACACAATATCCTCAAATTGATCCAAAAACTGTACAGATAAAGACAGTCGTCCTTTTTACAGCAGACATTTCGAGAAATCACTGCAAGAAATGCAAGGGATGTAATTAGTAACATAATGATGCTATTCCTCAGGTGTACCTTTATTGGTGGTGGGCAATCTTGCATAGTTGCCATAGTTACTTTAACTCTTACTGAGACAGTAATGGAATGGGAACATCAATAACGTTGTTTTGCTTTTCTTGCTATGACAAGTTAATGTCTGCTGTGATGAAGGCCTGTTGTTTTATGCGTTGTAGAGTCGCCTGTGTGCACTGAAGGTGTGTGATTTTGTGCTTTTTATAGACTGTGTAGCTGTGAGGCACCCTGTGGGTTCGCAAAGTACTTCACCCGCATATAGATTCATCAATTTTGTTAGCATTTCTCCCTCTAGTGGCTCAGTGGAGTCATTACAGATATCACCCAACTGGATTCATTCACCTCCCCCTTTGTAATACTGCTGAACTGTATGTTGAGCTTCCCAGTGAGACAATGTGTCCCGTTTGCCAGCCACTGTGTCCGTGAAAATGTTACTTTCCTGTGCTGAGTTAGATGCTTTGTTAAAGAGGTTTAACTGCACAGGATTTAGCTTAGAATGCTAAATCCCACAATATGGACGTCGGCCATGCTTGTGCCACATTCAGCTCGGATTCCTGCATGTGATCGCAGGTGTGTGTATGTGTATGTGTGTGTGTCTGTTGGCCACATCTGTGAGTATAACTTGATCCCGTTTGTTGCACTTGGCAGGGTGGCACATTCCCCGGTCAGCTGACCACAGTGGGCATGCAGCAGCTGTATGAGCTGGGCAAGAGGCTAAGGAGGAGATACATTGAGGAGAGAAACTTCCTCAACGCCACCTTTAGCCCAGCTGAGGTCTAGTAAGTGTTTCACATCATTACAGGTAGCAGGAGCACAAAGCTTTTCTCTACCTTGATAGATTGGGTTTATGAGTGTGGCACAGGATATCAGGCTAAATGTTTGTTATTTTAAAGCTGGCTATCTTCCATGACCTATTTTTTCCATTTTTAGTGTGCGCTCCACTAACATCGTGAGGACCATTGAATCTGCCAAGTGCCTGATAGCAGGGCTCTTCCAGCAAAAACAAAAAGGTATAGTAGAGGTGTATATGTGCATCATGTTCCTTTTCCTGTTCTCTATCTTCTCTATTTTTATTTTTATTTTGCAATGTTCTGTCCTGTTTGAAGAAATTGTGCCAATATTAACAACGGAGGCAGAATCGGAAATCCTGTATCCTAATTATCATGGATGCAAGCTGCTCAAAACCCTTGGCAGGTATGTCGAGTGTATTTTCATACCAGGCACAGAGTCACATCAAGCTAAAACCATCCAATGCACTCGCTACCCAAAAGTGGAATGTAGAATAATGTGTTGTGCAAAATTATAAGCAGAGTTGAGATGCCTTTGACAGGTTGTCATGGTGTATCTGTGTTCTACGGCTGACACTGTGTGTTCTTTGCAGCCACCGCTGGGCAGAGTCGGCCGCTCTGCCAGACATTGCAGCAGACCTGCAGAGCATCCAGAGTGCATTGGGGATCGCTGCTCACCAGCGCATCGACTTCATCCTCATTAGAGATGACATGGTTGCCAGAGAGGTGACACCACCGCATCGTGATTCATGTGACTTTTTGTTAGGTCTCACCACACGCTATCAGAATACATATGATTATTATAAAGACTTGGCCTGGCCCGAAGCTGCAACCTAGCAAGCTGCCGGTTATGTAAGATGAAGCTTCGTAGCAGAATTCATCAAGTGTCCCAAGATTTTAACAAGTTACGACTTAAGAGATCCTGCATGAGTTTAAAGATTGGCAGTATTTATTCATGTGGCATAATTAGAAGATATTTTCAAATAGAAGTCAAATCTGACTTCTGATTCCGTCAGTGAAAAGTGAGACTGAAAATCATGTTTGATCATTGGGGTAATATCAGACTTTGGAGACAGTTCTTTTTATTGTAGATGTTCAAATAAAATTTTACAGTATGAATGTGCACACTGGGAACCACTATCAGATCTGAGGAAGAAAGAAGGAGCGTCTTAAGTGGACCTGTCTTTATGATTTTCTTCACCACTCTGCTGAATACTGTCACCCTACCTAACATTCTAATCTTATTATGTTAGGGTACATCTGCTATTATTTACAACTCATTCAAACAGAGCAAACAGCCACATTTCGACTTAAACAGAAATAACTTGAAGGTAGATTTAATATTGACACCCGTCTTCACTGGAAGTAGTGCGCACAAGAATATGGCAAATGTCTCATAATGTAATGACAGCAGCTCTGGAAAATAGTGAGCTTCTGTCATGTTCCCTTTTGAGGTTTGTGCTGTGTGTCATTGCTGATTCTGTAGCACGTGTCTTCCTATTAACAGACGCACGGCCTGCCCTGCCCACCAGCACTGGACACCTGGAGGAATAAAGTGGAACAGAGAGCTGTGGACATGATCTGCCATGTTTTCGAACCCAGCAAAAGGTTAGATTACACAAAGTCACCGGGGAGGGGCGTTACAATCCAGATTCAGTGTCTGTAAAGAGCGTTTTCTAACATTTACGTTGAGTTCAGTGGGCCACCTTTAATTCTTGTGCTGTGTGTGGCAGGGAGAACTTGCAGCTGTGTGTAGGACCCCTCCTGCACACACTGGTAAACAACATTGAGGAGAAACTACAGGGCACCTTATCAGAGCCAAACAGGTCGGACGCCTCAGGATGGGCACACCCATTTCTTCCATACACTTTGCTGTTTTCAAGTTTTGAAATGGTTCACTGTTGAAATGCTCTCTCAAACAGAAAGCTGTTCTTGTACTCTGTACATGACACCACACTGATGCCCTGTCTGATGGCTCTGGGGATTTTTGACATGAGATGGCCACCGTATGCCGCCGACATCACTGTGGAGCTGCACCAAAAGAAGCAGACCAATGAGACCTTCGTCAAAGTGTCATACACAGGCCAGGTAGGGGGTGAAAAAGTGAAAAAGCACCATGTTTAATAAATAAGCTTTTGCATTTTTTTTTTAACTCCAAGTTGCTTTCTTTCTGTAGGATCAACTTATACCAGGTTGTAGTGGAGTCTACTGCCCTCTACAGGAGTTCAAACAGGCCGTGTCAGCCTACTCACTGAGCTCCCAACTCTACCAGTCAATTTGTGACAGTACAGCAGGCTTGACCGAACCATGAACCCTCAACAAACTTCCAGTGAACGCAGTGCTACCCATGAGATTACACTCTGACAGTAAACACACATCATGTTCTTTTTTTTTTTTTCCTCACGTCGCACCTCATCCAGCCAGCATAACTCATTATACCTCACTGGTGGACTACACTGGAGTTCAGCCTCTTAAGTTTTCATCAGATTTTTAATTTCATGATTCGTCATCTTCCTGTCACCATGGCAGTCACGTTAAATTCAGGTGAACTAAGTTAACAGTAAATGTACAGCAACAAGTATATGTGCAGAATGATTTTGCTTTATAGTGTATGCCTGGTAACAAATATTTGGTGCGTTGGTGTGCATTTGCATGCAACACTTACATCTTACTTGGCTTATTTATTAAAACTTGAGTTAAGTTTTTCCTTTCGTCAACAACCCAAGCAAAAACACATCACAAATGCCGTTTCATTTTTAAGAAGTAATTTCATAAAACAGGTAGACGCCAGATTAAGCAAAGTACTCCAACAGGAATAAATTATGTAGTTGTTGGGGACTATTTTCAACTGCGAACTGATACAGCTTTGTGTGAGTGCACTTGTGGCTGCTTTAGGACAATGTATGGTATGTGTGATTATGTTAAAAGAAATGCCTGTTCATTTTAATGAAGGGACATGTCACTCAGTGAAATGGTGTGGCTTCTGTATGTGTTTTTAATCATCCTTAAAGAAGAATAGAGGTCTATGGCACAGAAGAATATATACCATATAGGGCCAACACAACAGATGATGCTTAAGACTAAATACGTTTCTTAATCTTTTTCTGACTTAGTGCCAAGACAAACAGAATACTATTGTCTCTTCCCTCCAAAATATTTGGAGATTTTAAAGGCTGAACAATGTGGCCTCAATGCCTGTATCTGATTGCTGATGCAATTATTTTACCAAGTTGGTTAAGCGCACAACCATATCTTACATATTCAGTTATTTCATTGCTCAGGGGACGTCTACAAATTTCATGTAATGAATCTAGTGTTTATTAACAAAGGTGTGCAGAAAGTGGATTGTTTTATAACATGAATGTATAGATTTGGTTTGGATTGGTGAGATAAATACAGATTGTAATCAGTGTTAAATCTGTTTTGCCTTTGGCTCATGTCTCGTAAGAGGCTCTAAACTGTTCCCACCAGCGAAATAAAACTCCCAAACACACGTTAGAAAAGCACAACTAGAATCGAAGCATCGAAATGCAACAACGTGCTTGCAACTAATGTGTGGTGTCCTCTTGAAAGTAGTTCTTAGTACCTCCTGATAATGTCAACATATCAATGCTGCTTCGTAGCATGACTCGCTCTCCTAGTTCTAGTTGAATGTTGGTAAGCTGGTTTGACATGTAGAATGACAAAGACACCACCTGGTCCACATAACTGACTACATGTGAATAGTCAAAACCCACGTGGACACATGCATGCACACACACGCCGTAGACAACATGTATATACCAAAACAATATCTTTTATTTGTAGTCCATCACCACAGCCCTGGTAGGCTATTCTGCACCAAAGCCAATGGAGAAACACATGACAAGCTTATACAATAGAGAAAAGAGAGGAAGTCAACTGGATGGTAAGCAGTACGTGTTTACATTTCTGTGTGTCTCACTCTGGACACCACACCTGCCTTACTAAATTTTTACCAGATCTACCTAGCTCTAGTTCTATAATACCTGGCATACCTGCTGTGGCATTCAGCCACTCCTGTCCCATTCTGCTGACCATCGGGGGATTATTGCTGTGGGAATGATAATTACCCAGAGTCAACAAGAGAGTCAAAACAAAACAGGAACACAACAGGAACAAGAAGAACACACATAGCACATCTGGGTATTAGCAATATTATTCACGCTGGCGGAAGTCGAGTCCTGAAAGTTTTGAAGCACAAAGTCAAATGTCATCCACAACTTGAAATGGACTGGAGATTATCATGGTGCTGCAAAGCTGCCAGGATCCTCACACTTAATGTGTTGCCCTCAATGGTAAAAATAGAGAAAGAAGACGCTTTCTGCAGATGGTCCATGTTTGTGCTTTTTTAATAATACTATTATCTTAATGAGGTCATTGTTTGGTTTGTTATACACTGGAGTTACAAAGGAAATTTAAAATAGACTAAAATTTGAATAGCCCACCAATGGTAAACAGTACAGTATTTTAGGGGGCATTCCTCCCCCAATGAAAGTTGGGTAAGAGGAGTTGAGAGGTCACTGATAGAATGCCTATACATACAGACACATACATACATACCACACAAACATACAATCTGTCAAGCACTCAGACGCACTCTCACGTATATACTGTACAGAAACAGTCAAAACAATGGAGCGAGAGACAAGATGGATTTCCACTAAAGTCTTCACAAAGCACAAATTCTTCTTCTTCCTTTCTCTTGTTCCATACCACTTTTGTGACAAATTTGTTTTTTAAATTTGAAAAAAGTAGACATATACTGTAGCATCTCCACGCTGACTTTTAGTTAGGTTGATTCCTCTTTGATGTCGAAGTCATCTTTATAGTCAGATAATCAAAAAACACATGAACAGTTTTGCGAAACTGATGCACAACAATCCCATACATTCTGAAGTTCATGAGTCAAAATTAAATGTTCTTGTGGCAAAGTACTCCAATCCAGGCCTGTCCGAGTCTCCATTGGAATAGTTCCCACAGGACATTACTAGGTGAATGGTTAGCTCCACTCTGTTCATTTTCTGGGTACATCCTCTTTCTCATATTATACCTCCTTTACTTGGGTCCATCAGTTTTCTGAATACTCTCCACACTCCCATAATCTTTACTCCATCCTTGTGTATTGTCCAAGAACATTCTAGATACAAGGTTTCTGTTGGATTAGAACATTCCAGGGCCCGGACTGAACCCCATGTCCATGTCACGCGGCCTCATCTGACCTCCCATCATCATTGTCTGCTGTGGGGGGCCACCCATGCCCTGCAGTGACATCATCATGTTAGGTGAGCCGCCAGGGCCTGGGTGGGCCATTTGTCTCCCCTGCATCATCCCTCCTGGACCCCCAGGGGACATCATCCGGTGCTGGGGGCCCATCATGCCTTGGCCCATGAATCCTGGTGGCCGCATTGAATTGTGGCCTGGGTTGCCCATTGGCATGTCTTGGGGACCCATTCCCCCACCAGGTCCTCCTGACATCCCCCCCATCCCCTGCATGGGCATCCCCATCCTTGGTGGACCATCACCCATCATGCCCTGCATTGGAAAGCCAGAGGGGTGTGGTGGCTTTCCCCCAGGGTTGTCTCCTCCACCTCGGGGGAAATAAGACAGAGTCTGGCTGGGCTTCTCTGATGGGATTATCCGGGACAGGTCAAACTCAGGAATGCCAGAAGCTCCCGGCCGCATCACCTCATGAAGGTCTGCATCACTGAATCCACCTTGCATGTTGTTAAATTCTGGCCCGCCAGGAGTATTGGGCTTGCACATACCCCCATCACCCCCTCCTCCATGAGGCATGTTCCCCATCCGTCCTCCCATAGGTCCTCCCTCTCCCTGGAAGCCCATGGGATGGCCAGGGAAACCTTGGGGACCAGGACCGTTGTGCGGAGAGAAAGGACCCTGCTGGGAAGGGGATTGGGTGAGGGGATATCCCTGGCTTCGGTGAGGGTAACCCATGCGTCCCTGGGACATCATTTGAGGGTTTGCCATACCAGGGTCTTGGGGATTTGGTGGTATCATCATGCCGTGAGGCATCATGCCTGGGCCCATATTAGGGGCATTAGGAGAGGGCATTTGTGGGGGCATGCCATGGGAGAGAGGCTGGGATCCCATTGGATTCATACCCAGAGGGCTCAGGGCAGGCATGGGTCCGGCGTTTCCAGGTCCCATCATACGTGGATTGCCTTGGTGATTCATTGCCATACCTGTAAGCCAGAAAGAAGTGATTACATATTCAGTACAAGCATGTGTGAGTTTTAAAGGAAAAAAATGTTTAAATATGAAATTAAGCAACAAATTAGGCAACAAACAAAAGATATTTCAAATGTCTTACCATTATTGTTGACTGAAGGCAGGTTAGGAGAGCGAGCCGGAGGCGAGTCATCATCAGAGCTGGCAACAGTCTTTATGGCATCATGGTAAAGTGGGGTGGAGCTGGGCATTGCAAACTTGGACATGCGTGACATCATGATGGAGAGAGGGTTCTGGGATAGTGTTGGTTCGGGGGGTATGGTGTACGGACTGCCAGAAGGGACGTTGCCTGGGAGAGACATGGAGCCAGATGGAGCCCCTGACGAAGGAGGGGCTGAGGGAGGACCGTTCCCACCTAGACGACGACATGCAGATGAGAGAATGATGATATGACAAAGAAATTATAAAACTTAGCAGCAGAAACATTACATTCTCTGGGTTATTCATATATTACATATTAACAATAGTGAAACCCTTGCAATGTATGTGGAACTTCAGGCTTATGAAGTTTATGTGGTTTCTAAATTATATGGCCAGAAGAGGGAGCCACTGGACCATAACCCACCCAACCCCACCCCTCATACAGATGTGTTAACTTCAATGAGTGATGCACGTACTAGATACCCACCACAAAACATTATTTATTTTCAGTTTTGTACACCAGTTTGGTTTTCAAGGGATTGAAATTCAGATACCCCAAGTGAAATATTTATTTAATATCTGTGTGATATTAACAATCACTGAGACAAATGACTAAGATGGCATTACAAAGGAAATGCAACACCAAACCATTTACAAAAGAAATACCATCACCAACTGAGTGCAATTTAATACTAAAGAACTGAAATGATGAGGAATAAAATATTAAGAGAGGAAATACAGATGAGATGAAGGGTAAAAATGCATACCTTGCTCCATGCTTCCCATCATGTTTGGTGAAGTGATACTAAGGGGTGGCTTGCCACCCTGAGGGGGCACTCCAGGACTCTGCATGGGTGGTTTTGGTGAAGAGGCCCATCCTGGGGAGGGATTAGGAAGGGAAGGAGACCTCATATGAACAGGAGAGGCACCTGCTGAACCCATCATGGAATGGGGAGACTTCATTGGTGCTGAAGTTGGAGGAGCTGGAGGGGCACTGGGGCCTGTGGGACCAGTGAGCATGCCAGCCAGCTGGGACGGTGTTTGAGGAGATTTAAGGTTTCCCGAGGGAGAGCCCATCATAGGGGACTGCACTTGCCTCAGAGGAGGGGACTTCAGTGGGTTAACACTAGGAGAGTTCCCCCCACCTGCTTGGACATTCAGATCTGCTGGCTTGCGGCCCCTCTGACCTTGTGCAGGACCACCAGCAGAAGGGAGGTGGTTAATACGGCCATTACCTCCTGTTGGTGTAGATCTGTGCTCTGGACCAAAAGCTTGGTCTGCATGTGGACCCCTCATTCCTCCAGGACCCCCAGGGAAGGGCCGTCCAGGCCCCATAGGAAAGTCTCCTGACTGTGTCTGCTCAGGGAAGGGAGGACCCTGCATGGGTCTGCCTTGTGGACCCATGTTCTCCATTGGAGGTCCTCCGCCTCCCCTCATTCTCATCATCTCATCAGGACTCATATTCATTGGGGGATCTCGTAGTTTGGAAGGGTGCATATGAGGTCCAGGCCCAGGCCCAGGCCCCATACCAAACTCAGGCCCCATTTCCCTGCCCCCCATTCCCTGGAGCCTAGATGATGGACTCATAGGACCATCACCAGGCATTCTGGGAAACATACCCATGCCATTACCAGGTTCCATTCCACCTCTTTGGTGCCCCATCATCCTCTGCATGTCCATCATCATCCCAGGAGGGAGGACCTTCTCTCCACCCATTCCTTGGTGGAACATTGCTTCTTGGACTGACTGAGGGTTTGGGAAACGCTCACCGCGAGCCCCTGGACCAGCAAACATTGCCCCAGGTCCTCCAGGGAAGCCTCGTGCTTCTCCCATCCGGGGTGGCATGTCATCAGGCCAGCCCATTCCAGGCCTTGGGGGTCCCTCCATCTCAGGATTTATCATACCTGAGAAACCAGGCATTCTCTGCATATGTGGGGGCATACCCCTGGGGCCTGGACCCATGCCCATGCGCTCTGGGTAGTGATCTGGTGGACCACCTGGTCCTCCCC